TTTTATAAATATTGTACGCAGTATTGGTTGTTTGTTTATTAGTTTGTCCATGAAATAGTTTTCAAAATAGCATTTCGATATTTTTGGTTAATTTTAAAAATAGAATCAAATGATTTCGGATATGGTTAGTGTTTTGGATATATCTTTTTATATGACAATAATTGATGTATTAAATCTTAAAATCTTTTAAAATCTATCGAAACCAAAACATCTAAAATTATGGACAGAAAAACTTTTAAAATTTTATGTTAAAAGATAAATCTTAAAATTCCCAAGATATTATATATGTAATAATAAATATTAAAAATGATCATTTCTAATAATTTCTAAAAAAAATCTAACAGTGATAGAGACTACCCAGATGCAGAATTTGATTGGATAAAAAAAACAAATTAATTTTCAAAAGAGGTTTAATTTGATTTATACTAAAATGTGAGGATTTTCTTATAAGAAATTGTTTTTTATTTAGTTTAACAAATAGGGTTTAATATGATTTATATGACATTAAATAACTGGACTGTTTGTTTACATATTTGCAAAAGAGGTTGACCACTATATCGAAATTTGTTTATTAACTGCCATAGGAATATATCATTTTCAAACATATTAAACATTGATCATCAAAAAATACAATATATGATTCATTAATAAGTATAAACCACGAACGCACTTAAAAGGCAATGGGGTTACAGTCTCACTTTTAAATCTAAAATTGTTAGATGTACAATGATAAAATTAATCTTATCTTTATTGTTTCACGATTATAATTTTTCTAATAGTAAAATGAGATGTCGGCATAGTTTCGTTAAAATAACACACATCCTACCTAGATATATCTACTCAATTATTTCTTAATTTTCTTAATTACACTAATTCCTACTATTTTATTCTCCATGTTCAATATTTTAAAATGTATTTATTTAAATATTATTTCATGTTGAATGTACTAAATCTTTAAGATGATTTAAAGTCTTCTTTCATTAATAAATTATTTCATCGTTGCTTTAGTTCTTTGGAAATGATAATTTAGTTAAACTGAGTTTTAAATTGATTGAATATTAATTACTTCAATTTAAAAAATTCTATAAGTATAAAATGGTGATAATGTACTCTCGGTGTTCTATCAATTTAATCTTTATTTTTTTCATCATGTAACGATACTTCACTATGTTGGACCATGGTATTTATTCTCTTTTTCTTCCGCTTTCTCTGTTTAATGTATGACACTACACGGATTTTTACGAGCCCAAAAAGATAATGGAGGGAAAGATTATTTTAGAGTAAGGCAACGATGATTCAAAGGGAAGAAGAGACGTGATTTCATTTGTACCAATTTCTTTTGGAAGTATTTTTCTATGTTGTTATGATTAATGTTTAATATCTTATATATAAAACTACCGTTTAAACCGAAGAATGCCACTTTTCATATCTATATGCTCCCTCAATTATTATTCTAAATGTTTCTAATTAATTACACTCATTTTTATTATTCGTTTGTGTTATTAAATGTCTTAATTAAAAATGTATTAGTTTTGACACTATTTCATGTTCAATGTATCTCTATATTTATCTATCAATTATTTGAAATATTCACAAGGTATATAATGATCATTTGTCACTGATGTTTACCAGTTTAGATTGTATTAGATTTGGGTCATATCTGGTTCTTTGAACACGATCTCAATAGCGTTGAAGTTGGATAACAAGTCACCACAAACATATACACATAAAAAATACGTTTTTTCTTATATTGTTAAAATGGGTATTTCAATAAGAAATGCTGACTCCGGGTTTTAAAAATATAGATTGTATGGATATCCAATAGTTCCAACATCACTAGAATCAAGTTATGATATTCAATTTATATTGTTTAGCTTTTTGTTAATCCAGAAATTGTCCATTTTTGTCAAAATTTAATTAGTAGAAGTTTCTCTTTGTCATTATCATAATTTATTCGGAATTTTATTACTGGTCTTTTCAGATCATTTATTCATTAGTAGATCTCTTATAAAGGTGACATATTTAATCTAATATCATCTTTAATCTAAAATTCTTGAAAAATCCAAATGCATTAATTTACGTCTTATCTCTTAATCTTATCTCTTAGTTCATTTTTCTCTTTTTCCATGGAGTTTCTATTTTTTTTTTACTAAATGCATGATCTTGCAAAAAAAAGTTAAAAAATATTGTGTTTTGATTCTTCCTTTGAGATTTTAGGAAGATACAAATCTTTTTATATATAAAATAATTTGTTATAATAAATATGTTGTGCTGGTATTTGAGATCAGTTTATGAAATGATACAACATAATTTTATAATAAATATATTGAATCTACTTTGGAATTATAAAATTTTAAGATACGGTGTCTTTGAACAGAAAAATGTCATAGAACATATTTACCTTTACATATTATTAATTGATGTTTTAAATAGATAATTATATGGTTTATTCAGAGTAATATATCTATATAGTTTTGATTAAAAATCTTCTAACTATGAGATATTCAATTTAGAATGTAATCTTATAGTTTGACATTAGTATTTTCAAGATGACAAAAAAAAAGATCGACTAAAAATTCAGACATAAACCAAAATAAATACATACGTTGTGAGTTTATTGAAATATTAATGAGATTATATATATTTAATATTATAACAATATTTTATTGTGAAATGTTTATTAAATTAAATACATTGTTATTATATTGCTACAATAACTAAATTTATATTATTATTTGAAACTATACTTTTCAAACTTTCGGGTCTAAAAAATCATTTTTTAGGTACTACTCCATTTGCCAAATGCCAGTTTACTGTCAAGTCATAAAATTTATCAAAACATTACTCTAACTTCAATATTTTAATCATTAATTATATATTACAATCCATAAAATATAAACACGTAAAATATAAAAATTTCAATGTACTAAGTTGAAAAGTCGTGGAATAAATTTGAAACGGAACTAACAAAAATCGTAGAAATTATTAAGATTTTGATAAGAGATAATATGGACAATTAGTTTGGTGGGGTATGAGTCTCTTAGGTGTCATTGGAATTTTGATTTAAAGGCCTTTTAGAGATTTATTAGATCAAATCTTGAAATGCGTGCTCCAAATGAATATCAGCTCGGTTGAGTAGTATCAGAGTTTGGGTCCGGTAAATATCATTTTTAGTCCCTAACTCATATGATGGATAATTTACATTATGATGATAGATATGTATGAAAAACTAAATTAATTCGTCAATCATATAATCGAAAAGTTTAGAGCGGATCATGTAGTATCAGATAAACCAAATTGGGATGATAAAAATGATAAAAAAAAAAAAACAAATATAACAAAATAGATCAAATTGGATGAAATGATACAACTAAATGATCTTAAACTCAGATTTATTTAAAGTATAATTGGGTCGAATTCATAAGATTGCTAAATCAATATTATTATGATAAAATGTATATAATACACAAATAAGGTATAGTCATTAGTTGGTCAGATAAGAGTACATTAAATCTCTCTACGTGTTTAATTTTTAGGATAAAAAATGGCTAAATATTAGTTTGTAAAAAAATATAATGACTTAAAATGTAATAAAACAAATAAAAGACTCATATAATGTTTTATGAATTTGATTGAATTAAATAAATATCTATAAATTTAAATATAAATGAGATTATATTATTTTAGCATCATACCAATATTTTATTGTGAATTGTTTATTAAATTGAATACATTATTATTGTATTATTAATACTAATTAAATTTATATTTTTGTTTAAAATTATATTTTTCAAACTTGCTATAGTCAATTTTTTAAAATAACACTCAAATTGCCAAAAAGATAAATCTTTTATCGAATCATAATTTTTTTTTTTCAAAACATTACTTTGATATTCCAAATTTCAATAATGAATTCTATACTATAACCCATAAAATATAAATACTCTAAACAAAAACATCATCACGTTATCCCTACACTTTCACAAAATTTTTAATTTTGGTTTAATAATATAAATTATAATTTTTAAAAAATATTATATTTAATTTAAAAACTAATAATAAAATTAATTAAAATTTATACATATATTTTCAGGTAAATATCACTTTATTTGAGGTTATAACTCATATTATTGATAGTTTATGAGACCTTATAGATGTGTCAAGTATGAATAACTAAATGAGTCTCTAAGTCATATATATTTAAATTTAAATTAAAAGTGAATTAATTTCATAAGGGTTGTGTAACTAATATTATTATGATATAATATAATCTTAGTTTAGATTTTTTAAGTATAAACATGACCAAATCTTAGTTTGCAAAAACATAATATATAGATTTAGAATGTCAAGTTGATCGAATCGAATCTATTTTATCGAATCGTAAAATTATTCAACACCTTATTTCGATATTTTATATTCCAAAAAATAGTTCTATAGTATAACCTATAAAAATATAAACATGTACATTCTTCATGATCATGTCCGTAAAAAAGGTATTATCCCATCTCGACACTTAAAAAAATCTATCATTTTGATTTAACTATATAAATTATATTCAAAAACAAATATATTATATTAAACTTTAAATATAATAATAAAATTATTTAAAATTTAGATATATATAGTTGTCCGCGCGATGCACACAAGTTTGTATCTAGATAAAAAATCAGACTATGAAAGATATATCATAAATGAAAAACTAAGTCATCTCCTTCATCATAAAATCAAATAATTTATAGCGGATTATGACGGATCAGATAAACTAAATTAGGATAAAAAGAAAGTCTGCGCGATGCGCGCGGGTTATTACCTAGTATATATTAATAAAGATGTTTAAAGGATTGTGGTGAAGCCACCTAGAATCCACATCATCCATTATCTCAATTTTTATTGGTCATTTGATCTATTCATTGCTGTGATAATGCCACATCACCTTCCATAACTTTTATTGTGCAATTAAAATATTCATGACCTACACATCATAATACTCGAAAATGCGTGTTGCAAACGCTTTCTGCGCCTCAACAAACTGCAGCAGTGGCGAAACTAAATCAAGTAACAGTTCTTGCACTTTTAGGGTCAACCTTTTTTGTTACATTAGCTGTAACTTTATGCATTTGAGATAGATGATATATCCAGTGAACTATTGGGTTCTTTAATGAGCTGCGAGCTGCTATGTTCTTGAAATCGTATAGCAAAAAAGTAAATGCCCTTATCATTCTCTGGTCGTTATTTTCATTTTGCCATTAGTTTGTTCAACTGTTCCGCATTGAGATTCTCAGGTTCCAATAGAGTCCAAAGCTGCTGCCGGCTTTATGTACAAGCTTTATTTCAATCATATATATATTTACTAAACCAGATTCATTTCTTTTCTTATCCGTCCAGCCTAAGCATGAAGAGTTAACAATAGCACGAGAGATTGTAATCAATGATGCTGAGGCTTCTATTAGGCACAAGCTTACCAAGCGCCAGACTCAGGAAGAAGTAAGTATACACACACATGTATGTATATATCTGGAAGGTAGTCATTTTTTTTCTGTATTTTATAGCATCTATTTTCTTCATCTTGCAGATTCAAAAGTCCACTGGTGCTGTGGTGATTACTAGGTTTGTCTGCCATTTAAGCAATGGAGAAGATACTTTTACTGTTATCTTTTCTGGATTTCATTGATGAATTTCCTGGTTGATTTTGTAGGGGCAAGTACCGTCTACCAAATGCACCGTCTGATGGTGAAAAGCCTTTGTATCTTCATATATCTGCAGCATCACATGTATGTTTTCCTTTTCCGGTCTTATGGAATATGACCAAAGCTGTTTCCATGGTTATCGTGGCTTTTATTGGGTTGACAACAACAATATTTTTAAATGTTATTGGCGAAAACTTGATCCAGCAATGACAATCCGATGATCGTTTTTGGGGTACTACATTATCTAACATTTATTGATTATATTTTTTTTACTCTTTTCCAAGATGAAAATGCCCGAGGAAGAGGATAATATTGCTTATGAAGCATGTGAAAGGGGATCCGGTCGACAAAACACTTGTCAAGAATGTGGTGTTAGTTTCAGGAGAGCTGATCACTTGAAGCAACATTTGTAAAGCCGTTCCCCCGATGTATAATTCAGCTTTCATCTCAATATTTGGTACATACATTTTCTAATCCTCTGCACATTATATTCTTTTCTTTTATTTTTGTTTCATTACATTTATATTTAAAACTTATTTATTGTTTTGATGATTTTATCTTAGTATAAAATAACAAAATAAAAAAATTCATCTTTATTATACTGTAAAAGAATTTGTAATATAACGTTAGAGTGATAAAGAATTTTATTTGTAGGGGCAAGTACCGTCTACCAAATGCACCGTCTGATGGTGAAAAGCCTTTGTATCTTCATATATCTGCTGCACCACATGTATGTTTTCCTTTTCCGGTCTTATGGAATATGACCAAAGCTGTTTCCATGGTTATCGTGGCTTTTATTGGGTTGACAACAACAATATTTTTAAATGTTATTGGCGAAAACTTGATCCAGCAATGACAATCCGATGATCGTTTTTGGGGTACTACATTATCTAACATTTATTGATTATATTTTTTTTACTCTTTTCCAAGATGAAAATGCCCGAGGAAGAGGATAATATTGCTTATGAAGCATGTGAAAGGGGATCCGGTCGACAAAACACTTGTCAAGAATGTGGTGTTAGTTTCAGGAGAGCTGATCACTTGAAGCAACATTTGTAAAGCCGTTCCCCCGATGTATAATTCAGCTTTCATCTCAATATTTGGTACATACATTTTCTAATCCTCTGCACATTATATTCTTTTCTTTTATTTTTGTTTCATTACATTTATATTTAAAACTTATTTATTGTTTTGATGATTTTATCTTAGTATAAAATAACAAAATAAAAAAATTCATCTTTATTATACTGTAAAAGAATTTGTAATATAACGTTAGAGTGATAAAGAATTTTAATTTGTTTCCAAAACATGTGCTCATATTTAATGAGTAAAAAAGATTAAACAACCCGTAGGGTTTCTCAGATTCGACGAGAATCTTGCACCGAAAGCAAGCGAGGAGGTCTTGAAGGAATTCAACGAAGGCGAGAGAAAAAGAGTAAGTTAAAAGTATTTATATACTGAAATTTGAATCCGACATTAACACATGACAATTGTCTTTTTCTATTGTTGTGTTTGCATCAACTTCTTTTGATGTTTCTAAAAGTAGGAGGCGTCTAACCGTAGCTTCAAACGTCTTCTTCATGGTAAGGTCACACATAATCAAAAACACCTCTCGATAATGATGATGGTGACGGTGATAGTGATGATGATGACCGAAACTGCAGGATCCATGGTGGAATCTGGAAGTTGAAGAGCTAGCGATAATGAGAGTTCATTGTATCGGCAAGAAACAAACAGTTCACGTCCGACGATTCATCGTTAAGGTTGTAATAGCACCACTAATCTCATTTGATCGACTGAATGATGGTGACTGATGGATGATGATGAATACATGATACGGTGGAGAGGATGCAACAGATTCAAGCAAGAAAGCAACGAATGATCGTTGGAGCTCTAATCGATAAAAAAACTCATCTGCTGGACTCGAGGAGCTCAAAATGTTATTCCGATGAGATTTCATCTCACATTTATATTACATGGAATATAAAAATAGATATGTTTCTAACCATTATATTAGACACACAAGTTATCTAATATAAAAGAAATTTCTTATTTATCTCTAATATAAAAGAAAAATATTAAAATTAAAGTTGATTGGAAATTGTTGTCTTTTTTTTTTCCCAATAATTGCCTAACTATATGTAGTTCTACCATACTTCATATATATATATACAGAAAGTGTGTGCATATACATATGATCATATATATTTTTATTTTAACTTTTTGTTTTGTTTTTGGATAACTAATTTTAAAAAAATATAATAATTTTGATTCAATAAAATAATCAATTTTACAATTTTTTATTTTTAAAAATTATATTTATATATTTTCATTTATATGTTTTTTGTGTTTCAAGATTTATTGAAAATTATTCCATAATAGATTGTATAAGTAGATAATGTTTATTCTATAAAATAGATTGTATGAGTGTGGTTTGAAGCTCATTTCTTTTATTTTGCTGTTTTATTTAATGTTTCAGTCATGTATGTGTGTAGTTATTGCTATTAAAGATAGTTATGGTTTATGAAGTTTAATAAACGTGTGAGAGTTTTATAGAATTGGTTTTGAGAATTTCAGATTTTCAGACAAGTGTGTATTGAGAGAGAGATGTTTATTGTAGAACTTCAGTCAGTTTTAGAGTTCTGTTTTTTTTTTCCAGAACTTCAGTTTTTACGTTTGTTTAATTCAGATTCAATTCTGATTTAATTAGAAGATACATCATATGAAAAAGAGGCAAACGTTTTAGCAACAAGCAGAGTTATGTTGTCAACAATAACCGACTCATTCAACAAGGGAAGAAAACCAAAAGAGGAGGAGAAATGGATGTTCGACGAGGCCTCCAAGGAGGAAGAACATATTGCAAACTTTGAAGTTTTATTGGCTTTTTGATGCATGTGAGTTATATATAATTTTTTTTTGTTTAAGTTATATATCATCTTTGGTGGTTTACAACATTTTTCTGTTATGTATCATTTTAAAAGTTTCACATTGACATTTTCTAATCCTTAATTTTAACGAAACTATTATATATGCAATATAATATTCTATAGGTTGCCATATATTTTGGGTTGTTATCGTGCTGGATATTTTGCAGCATTCGAATTTCTATGTTCCAAGCTCCAAGTTCATATTTTTAACAGTAGTATATTTCGTAAAACAAATACGAAAATTATTATCCGTTAATTTGTATCTAATTTTATTTGGTAGAATCTTGAAATGTATGGTAAGGAATACAACTCCCTCGTTTATTGTATATTTTAATTTTTCTGCATGTTGCTTAAAAAACTAACTCAGCACGAAATCTTGCAAAACCAAAAATAGTACACGACTAAAACTCCAAAGCCATTCATAAAAAAAATGTAATTATAACACACAATAAAAATACCTAAGCACTCCAACTGCATTTGTGTCATGGCAATAGTTGCAAACCAATGATGTTGACGCTTTTGCTAGTTTTCTAGAACACTTACCGCAATCAATGTAGGTCCAACAATTTTTAGTCAAAACATCAGTAATTGTAGCTTTGCATAAAAAATTTGCATCCTAAAAAATATTAAAAAAAATGATTTTATGATGAAGTTTGGATGCTGATTACAATAATCAAAATTGAACGGACATATTTTAAGTTGATTAATACATGTTATATAAGTTGTAAACAAACCGTTTAACGTGTTTTAAGGCTATTGAAACGCAACATACCTGAATTTTTGACATGGTGATAAAATTACACAATTCTGATATAGAAACACTCTCCATTTTTATAACCGTATAAACCAATTCCTCAGTTTTTAATGTTACATCGATGTTGTCTTTAAACCTATGGGCAAATAGTACGATATATGATCATAACATATTGATAAGCATCATATATATAATAATTTATAAGATATACATGATAAATGTTTTGTTCGCGTCGACTTCATCGTCAAAAAAAATCTGGAAGCTGACGTGATGTTGAGATATAATGACCCTACATAAAAAAAATACATTTAAGAAATTTTAACTAAAAAGGAATATATATTTTTCTTATGGTGTTCATGTCTTCGGTTGTTTTATTAATAATAAAATATAATACCTAAAATATGTGATTTCTATTTAACGTTAATATCAAGATGCTAGTGATTGCACGGGGATAAAAAAAAAGATTCATGTGTATAAATAGATATATCCGTTGGTATGAGACATGCAATTAACAAACTTTTATAATAACAAAAAAAAATTCCAATTTTAAAACAACATATGAGAAATAATTCGCACATTATGAAATATTACCTCCAACAAATTTAGGATTGATATTGGTCACCAAAATGACTTTTGGTTGTATGTATGTATTCTCTAATTTATCATCTGCTTTCGTGTCTCATGCAGTCACCCGAATGTCTTTGGCACTAAACAACAATTAAATAAAAAAAATAGAAATACAAAAAAATGTAAAAAACAAATGTAACACTTATTTGAAGAATTTTTAAATATTGAAAGGTACAACATTGGAAATATTTATATACCTTGCCATATGTAAGTCGATAACAACTCTTTGCTTAGTTAACGAATGTTCATTGTGAGTATCTCTGATACTTCGGACGCGACCAATGACATCTTTGATAAGGAGAGAAAAATCGAAAAGTTAGTAACATTTAATAAATAATTTAATAAAATATGAGAAAAAAATAGATCGTTAAGATGTTATGTCAATGCACCTGGTAATTCTTCATTTTTGTTAGCCAAGGCCGTCAGTTTATCATAATCTCAGAACCTAAAGATCTCTTTAGGTATCTTAATAGTGGTATCATCAACTTCTAAAATATTAGTCCGTTCGGTGAATCGAATAGATAACTTGAAATCAGTTAGCTTAAAAAACTCGTTAGCTCTAACAACGTCAAAATCAGTTAGAACATAAATTGCTCCTTCACGCAACATATCTTTGAAGCCACTTAAACGTTGTCGGTTTATAGATCCATGAATAACAATAGACTTAAACGTTGTAATCAAATGTCGGAAATTGTTAAATGTTAATGTCGTTTACAGGAGAGTTGTAGCAGAGAAATTGATGGTAAATGCAAAATATTTTAACACCAAGTTAGAAGATACCCAAAAAATGAATGGAGTATATTTCTTAGAATTAAATAGGGGAAGACCAAATAATAAAAGGTGTTATAAGTGGACTAAATATAATAAAGATGATTATTCTAAACATTACTCAACCAAAAATGTTCGTTTGATAATGTTATTCAGAGAAATAAAAAAAGATAACAAATAAAATCTAGATATAAGTTGAATTAAATAAAAATTATAGTAAGACAGTAAAATAGAGATGTTTTAATAATACTGTGTTGAGCTTTTAAAAAAAATATAAATATAAACAATTAAAAGTAACAATAATTTATAATTTAAAGTTATAAATAATTGTTTTACGAGAGAGTTGTTTATATTTATATTTTTGAAAAGTTACAATATTTTTGAATAAGAATTGTTTATTTCAAATAATATATTTAAATTGTTTAATCAGATACTTTATTATTATAATGTGAATATATAGTTATAAAACTATACAAAATCGAATTTAGAACTATATGTAGATTTATGTATTCTCATCTGTAAAATATTTATCTAAATTATTATTTAGCTAATCTTGATAAATTTAATCATTTTTATATAGTTTATTGTTAAAAAATAATTAAAATTTTTGGTATATAAAATTTTAAATTTAAGTTGAAACATTTAAACCAAAAATAATCGAGACGGTTTTACAGGAAAAACATATTTTTCCTTTAAAATTATGCGTAAAAGATAAATATATATACATATACATATATACATACATATTTATACATATATACACATATATTTCATCATAATTTTTATAAATTTCACACTACGTCTGTTTATATGTAAGTTTTTGGAAGATGATTTTTATTTTTCCTATATAAATATATAATATATATGAGATAAAATGATAATTGTAATAAAAGATAACTAACACTTTTTATTATATTTTATAAATACCCCGGTTCGAACAGGAGGAGTACGCCATGCTAATGTCCCTTGGAAGAGAATGTCCTAGACTTACTTGTGAGTTATTGCTCGTAAAACAGATTGTAAAATTCTATGAACACAAACACACGTTTCTAACCAATGAAAAACTAGGAAAATTAACACTCCAACAATATCCTCTTACATCAAACCGCTCCCGTGGGATTTTCATGAGCATCCAAAGCAAGAGCAGTGGAAAGGACAAAAAAAAAAGAGATGAAAAGACATGGTACAAAGTATGCCCAAACGAGGATATACAAAACCGAAGCAGCGGTTGGAGAGATATAATCGAAGTTGGGGACGAGGTAGACGAAGGCAGCGAAGTGGGCCGTGCAACCGAACAAGGGATGTGCAAACGACGCATCAAAGGGCCATCTGCCCCATATCGTCACGGCTTCCACCGAGATGGCAAAAAGGTACATACACGAGGCAAAGATGCAATTCTTGATGAAATCGAAACGTGCCTCGTCTGTCGTCAGCAGCCCATGCATTACTATAAAGCACGCCGATGACACATAGGCTACCACCAGCAGCACGTGCATGACAATGCAATACACATCTGTTTCAAGCCTGCAATCATCGATCGATGGACGACATATTACATACATATATATATATATATATATAATATGAAAAAAAAGACGAATATAATTACATACTCTACGTACTCACCACCAGAAGAGAGTATTTAGAAGAGTTCGGGGTTTATCGTCCATTGCTCCGGTTTCTTTTCTTTGTTTTGTGTTTGCTCTATACAAAATAGATCCAATTTAAAAAAAACTACTCTTGAGAGAAAAGCTTACTCGAGAAAACCTCTGTTTTTCTTGAAAAGAGATCGAAAAGAAAGATGCTTACCTTTTTAATTGAAATAAAACGTTAGGAGAATGAATGAGATTGAGGAGCTAGGGTTTTGTTTTGGATCCATGGTTTCGAGGATTTTATATATATATATATAGCAGGAGAATAATGGATGAGAGCTAGGGTTTTTTTTTTGGTCGATCGTTTTAGATAAGTACTAGTTTTTTTTTTAAAAAAAAAAATTATAAAATCCAAACCCCACTCAAACTCAAACCCTAAACGTCTTCTGCTTGAGATAAAATCTACCCAAAATTATATACATAATTTCTTGAAATTAAAGAGAAGAGAAAAATACTTATTTTTTAAGCGCTGGTGTCGATAAATATATGGATGCTTTATCTGAAAAAATCAATCTCCCGTTTTCTCCAAAATTCCGCTGCAAACTCGAACTGATTCACGTTTTCCGGCACCACGTGTCACGTCAATTTTGTGCCGCACCAAATAAAATAATTAAAAGGGTAAAGTAATAAATAACAATTGAGCAGATCTACGATCCCCATGAATTCTCCAAAAAATGAAGCTACCGATGACCATGCTACTTCAATGGAGGAGGATGACGAACTCATTAGAAGAAAAGACCTGGAAGAGATAGAAGAGAATACTGACTGACCCTCGCTGGAGCCGAGGCGGAGGCAGAACCGGAGATCAGAGAGCGAGAGAGACGACCGGAGAGACAGAGGGAGTTTCGAGGAGGAGAATGAGCTGTGAGCTGAAGTGGCCGGCGTGATTCCGGCGGCGGAGGAGGAGGAACGAGAGCCGGAGCTGGTACTCCGGTTGACGGTGGTGCCGGTAGACGTGAAACTCACGCTCTGCAAATCGTCGGCGAGGTCGTCAGCCCATGGCTCCATTTTCGATTCGAGAGAGAGAGTGTTGGGCTCTGAAGGAGAGAGATGGGAAGAAGAAGATGGAGATGATGATGAAGAAGCTGTGTCGGTTTTTGGGCCGAGAGATGAGGGATTTGGGGGATGGCATTGAAGCGTAATTTCGGGGTTATTTATGCCGCGTTTCGTAATTAATGTGTTTGCGTAAAATTTTAATATCATTATAATTTGATAAATGAATTAATAATATTAAAAACTAAAAATTAGTTTCCATTCCTTGTTTTGTTTCTTTAAATATTTGTTTATTTATATGTTTTGGTGTGAATATATGCTTTTTTAAAAAAAAATAATTTGTGAGGATTTGATTCTCCATGATTTCAAAATTTTCTTTCCGTTTATATGACAAAGAGACATTATCTCTAGGCCCCTACGAGAAAACAAAAATATATGATAATCATATGACCCTCTAATTATTAAACTAAAAAAAAAGCCAATAATAAATTTCTTGATTTTCCTTTCCTCAATAAAATTGAATCTATTTTTATTATTATTACTAGGTGAGACCTGCGCGATGCGCGGTTGATTCTTTTTTATGGTTAATATAAATGATTTATTCTTTTGTTATGAAAAAATGTTGATATGAATATAACAAAAATAATATATATATATATATAAAGATTTTAAAAAATAGAAAATATAGATATTATTGTATTATTATATTATAAAATTATTTTTATATATACGTTGAATACGATTTGTCAATATAAGTTTATATGTTTTTTACGGTGAAGTGCATGGTTAATCAATAACATATTTATGATTGTATGATATTCTTTAAATATATATTTATAATAGGAAAAATCCTAAAAAAACACTGGACTTTCAAATTTTGACAAAAAAATATTGAATTTTTATTTCATCAAATAAACATTAAAATTTTTAAGTTTGGTGAAATAAACACTTAACTCTTCAACGATTGTCAAAATAAACAAAATGACTGACGTGACACAATGAGATGCAAACACATCAGATTATGTTTCTTATTTTTTTTTACAATCGAAAAAAATTCATGTATTTTTTTGGATCACTAAAAAGTTCAGTGTTTTTTATAATCGGAGAAAAGTTTATGTATTTTTTGGATCACTTAAAAAGTTTAGTGTTTTTTAGATTCGTTTAAAAAGTTTAATGTTTATTTGAAAAAAAATAAAGTTTGGTATTTTTTGTCAAAATTGAAAACGTTCAGTATTTTTTTTTACGATTTTCCCTTTATAATATAATAACATATTTGTTTTAAATTTGGTTAAATTTATATAAATGATATAAAAATATAAATCACTAATGTGACACTTATAATTTTTTATTTTTTATAACATTGGATTCTGTAATATCTATAATATAATATACGAAAATCATGCCATGTAAATACAAAAAGAAAACAAAATTGAAAACTCACCTTGTTAATGTTTTTTCATATTTTTTTTCTTTAAGAACAAAATTAATCTCTTTAATAAAAATGACATGAAGGTAGATTATCTTTTTTATTCCTCCATTCTTTTCTCAATTTGTGTTCATAGACTCATTCCTTTTGAGAAGACTTGTTCTTTAGGCGTAAGAGATTGATCTTTGCAATTGTATTTGATCCTTCTCTTTCTCACGATGTGAGACTCATTTCAAGATACATTTTTATTAGGTATTTAACCAGTTTTTAAATACACTTTTTGATGAATTTTTTCAATTTTTTTCCGTGGCTTGGGCTATATTCTCCTTGAATTCACTGTTACAGTTTGCTGAAAAGTAGTAAGTTTGGGCTATAAGTCTGTCAGTTATGCATTCTTTCCTATCTATATCTCTTGCTCTGGCCAATCTATACAATAAACTTGTGCAAATGCCCATAAAATATAATTCAATTTGATATCTCTTTAAGTCTAACTTATGGATTTGGGTTAATGTTGTATAGAAAACACCGTCAATATCTTTAATTGTAGATAATAATTGTTACCAAAACTCCAAAAAATCTACAACTATAAATATATACCAATTTTTAAATCCAATGATATGTTTTTTAATTATCTTTGGTAATTTGAAAAATCTGGTAGATATTATTTTTTGGGCAACTATAGCATGTCATGGTATAAATATATCTAGAATTTTCTATAGAACAAATACAAAATTTATCATCCGCCAACGTATATAAGTTGTTGGATGATAGAATTTTAAAATCACTAACGAAAAATATATTCCATCATTTATTTTTTTATTTTTGTAAATGTTATGGAATACTTTTGTTAGTTTTTTATAATAATAATAATAATAAACTTAAAAATAAATCATATATAGAATTTATAAATAAATTTGTCTAATTACCAAAAATTTTATCTATATGATTCTCTATTTATTTTTTATAATTTTTTTGTTTGATTAATCTAATTTCCCGTGGACATTTGAATTTCTTTTAAAAGGAAACAAATCTTTATAATTTTTTGTTAAAGATTTTGGTTTTTATGTATTTCATCTAAATTTAAAAACTTTCTAAGTGATGTGTTTTCTAATTTTTTAAAATTAAAATTTGTATAGATAAAACTTCACGATGAATTTTTATTTCCAGAATATTATCAATTTTCTATTAAATATGAATTTTTATTATTTATGTAACATTTTTTTGAAACTTGAAATTTTTATTATTCAGTAATATTGTTTATGTACTAAAAAATATTTCAATATATACGGAGACGGAAAAAGAGATCATCGATAATTTTATTCATGTCTAGAATAAAAATAATATTTATAAAATCTCTTATAACTATTTAAAAAATAATATTTATAAAATCTCTGTCAATATATTGTACATGCAATGTGAAAAAACCTGTTATTTAAACTTCTTCACTTGTTTGCACAATTAAGCTATTTTTGGGTATTGATTTTCCATTGATCTTTGAACCTGTATAATGAGAAAACCAATTCCCAACTCAAAGTATCAAATAATTGACTGTGACATAGTTACTAAACATGAAGCTTTCACAAAACTTTCATTACTTTACAAAAAAGTAAGAATTAAAAGAGAAAGACACACCGCATGAAATTAAAAATAAGTGCGCCATAAATTTCATCATTTGATTATTTTTTATTTTTGGTTTTTAAGATTATTAAATCACATCATCATTAATATATGATAAAAATATAATGTTTACATCATTTTTTTAAATAAATTTTGTATAAAATAAATTAAATATGAGTTTTTTATGACCTCATAGTTTTGGTATTAAGGGAAAGATTTTATATGTCCAATATACATTTTGTATTTTGTTTATGTGTTTATTTATAATTTTTTTGGCTTTTATTTTCATAAAACTGTTAACTATGTATTTTTTTTTTAATTCGGCTTGAATAACGATTCAATTTAAATTTGAATTTATTAAATCTAAAACGATATTTGGCCTTTAATATTCATTTAAAATAACACTGTATTTTATAAACGGTTATACTCGGTTATTAATTGATGATATATAGGTAGATAAATGGTTATACTCGGTTACGATTAATTCGAGTTCGATTTATTCATTTTACAGTTATTTCGGATTTAAAATATTTATATTTAATCTGGTATATTATTTTAATTGGTTCAATTCGATTCGTGTATCTATCGGTTGGATTAGGTTCGGACAGATTTTTTACCACGTAATTTTTTGTGTGTTTGCGTTTAGGAGCTTATCTGCTAGAATTTATAAAGTAGACGTATATTTCGGCGAATAATATAAGTATAAGGTTTGTTTAATAATAAAAAAAGTATTGGATTTTTTTGTCTAACATATGAAGAATACAGATATATTTCGGCAAATAAATATAAATATAAAGTTTTTTTTGTAATAAACAATACATATTTTTTTTGTCGGCATCTGAAGAATACAGTTTTTTTTTTACGATTTTCTCTAAAAAATGATTAAATTTATCAAAATACCTCAAATCACAATATTTTTTCTGAATTTATTTTATCATTTAGTTTCTGGATTTATAGCAATTATTATTTGTACAAGAAAAATTCTAAAAAATTACACAATTATATCAAAATTTGTAAATAAATACTAATCTTTTTATTACACAAGATTATGTTTTAATATACATGCACAAACATACATACATATATACACATATATATATATTTTTATATATATATATGCATGCATACACATAGATATATATATTCATAAATATATATACATGCATGCATATATATATGTATGTATACTTGGATATATATATATATATATATATATAACTGTTTTTATTTATTATTTTATTAT